CTTTCCGTAGCTTTTAAAATATATAAATTCGGATTTTATTCATCTATCCGCATGTTGATATCAAAAACTATAAGAGATATATATCAATATCTTCCCTGTCTAAGCAAAAAGAGAAGAATGTATATCGATACACACAGATCCAGAAAGATAGCTAAGCACTTTATTACTTCAGATGTCATTATAATTCCACGAAAATAACATAAAGATCGGATCATAAGCACCGAAGTTACTTGAGCTCGCACTTTACATAGTATCTACTAGTTGGGCACTCGCAACTTAAAGACTCTTACTTTTAAATGGGAACGTGCGCTCTGATGGAACCACTGGTTCATTTGAATATAGCGGCACTTTCAGAAACAACCATGTTTACATTATCATAAAAAGATCTTGCTCATGCCGTTAACTTGTGAAAGATTTATGCGAAGTGCCATAAAAAACGTGCAAACAAGTGTTGACAAACGAGTACAAATAATGCTGTTTTGTCGCAAATATAAAGAAATTACTTTATATCTTAATCGAGGCTAAACTTGACAAGCTTTTAATAAACATCGGCAATTAAATATTTGTCAACTATATACATATTTGATCTTTTATTTATATCTAAGGACTGTCTATTCCTATTTTTAGTCACACTCTGAGGTTTATAATAACAATGCCAACATATGTGTATCTATGCACGATTACAAAACAATATAATGTAAATATTTATTTAATTTAAATATAAATATTTATTTTATTTAATTTTAGACACTCATCACTTTGTTTTTCACATGTTTCATTTCCATTATATTTCTGGGAAACTTTACAACACTTAAGCAGCTGCTTGGGGCTGTTTGGCGAATTCATTTTGCTCTGTTGCCAATTTTGGCTTTAAATCAAACTCAAAAAAGAATCGCAATTTTTGAAAAATAGCAGAAGTTAAAAACCAATTGCGAATCTAATTTAGTTTGCCACATGCAAAAAAAAAAAAAAAAACAAAACAAAGTAATAATTTCCGCATAATTTACACTCCAATTACGCAAAGTCAAACAAAGTCAAAGACGTCAACGTTTTGTTTTTTAATTTTTTTATTTGTTACAAGTTTATGTCAAAACACGTAGTTTTGCCATTTGAAAGGTAATTTGCCAAATCTCTGTGCTACCGCCAGCTAGTTCTTTATAGCAGCTCGTGAACTAGTTCCTCTAAAGTTGCCATAAATATAGAAAACAAAATAACTAGCGCAAATATTTATATTTAAAGTGAGCGGAGTGCTCGTTAAATTTGATTATTGACGCAATTGTCTAACCAAATTGCGCTTTATGCAATGCAAATTGTAGGGTATATGTCAGGTATATATATTAGTCAAACAAGGCTCGGTCAGCTCGTCCCCATAAACATATCTTGAAGCGCACGAATATCACCTGCCATTTAGGCGTATAATTTGTTAACTCTATTTCCCCCCCCCCCCCCCCTCCCTCCTCTCACTCTCTCTCTTTCCGCCCGATGAATTGGCATTTATTCTGGCAGCTTTTTAGAGACCCGAAACGACCCGCTCGAGCTGCGGCTCATTTATCATTTTGCAGTGTGACAAACAAATAAAACACAAAGTTGACAAACGCTCAAAACGCTCGTTTGTTGTCTGTTTGTCTATGTTGTTGTTATTGTTTTAGTCTCCCTTTGTTGTTGTTGTCGTTGGTGTTATTGTGTTTTTTTACTGGCATTTAAGCATCAATTTCAAATCGCATTTCAGCTGCCGTCTTACGCGTGGCTGATTTTTGCGGCAACAATAGCTTGATACGATACACGACTTCAGATACATATAGCTCTATATATATACATATATATATATCTATATATTTCGTCTGTTTCACAGCACATAAATTCCAAGTATTACAGTTGCAGTCGGCAATCACAATTGCAATTTATGAGCCAAAGAATATACTATAATTCCGTTCGCCTTTCCTGCTTCACAGAGTCAAGCCAGGCCTGCACTTCATAAACAAAACAGTTTCTCGATCTAACTAACCGCAAAATGCTTAAGTGGAAAGCAGCCACTAGACAGGCTCATAACAGAACATTCTGTGGGGCAAGGAGCATGGGGCATGCCACTTGCTGAAAATCTAATAATGGCCTGCCAGCCAAGACGACAATGTCCTTCTGCCTCGACTTAAGCTAAAGTTGAGTAGTTTATGAAGTGGCTGCAAAGAGAGAGAGAGAGAGAAGGTAGCTGGACAGACAATTCCCACGCTGTGAGAACTTGGCCCAGGACCGCAGGGCATGCCGTTTGACTCAACCATTGTGGACAGGCTCGAAAATTGTTTGCTGATTTGTTGTACTTGCACATTTATGGCCCTGCTTTTAACTGCCGCCATATTTATCAATGGGCCCACTAAGTATTATTAATAGTGCGGTTTCGCGCGCCTACGTCTCTCCCTCTCTCTCACTCTCTGTGCGCAATTTTCTATTTATTCCTGTTTGTTCGCAACAATTGCGTCCAAATTGTGCCCATCATTTATTACTGGCCGCAAATTAAAATTGACTTAAACAAAAGCAAAGGCAATGCAGTCATATGACCATGAATCGTACGATTTAAATACGGGAAACGAGAAAGAAAAACAAAAAAAGAAAACAATCAAATGCTAATTTCCAATGCAATTTCCAGAGGCAACAATAAATTTGCTAAGACAAAGGCGACAAATCTTACGTACAACTTACACGGAATCGTAAAGAAGCTAAAGCTCAAATCTGAAATAAGATCTGTCGGTGGCGTATACGTAATCTCAGCCGTACGATTCAAATTACCGCGTGTGGCTGCCGCTGCTTCTGTTCTACATAATGCGCATAATAATTTCGCTCATTTAAAACGTGTTGGCCAGCCAAAAACTGACTGACAGACAGACACAGTCACACACACACATAGACACCTTGTCACACAGTAGAGCGCACTTAAGTGCGACGGGCATCATCATAAATAAAATGAAGAATGATAGAAACACAATGGGGCAAGTCGCGGATTCTACAAAATAAAAAACGGGAAGCTGTTCAGCTAATTGCAACGTTTCAAATTTCGCGTATTACATAACAAAACGTATGCCAAGTGCCAGACAAACAATAAATGAGTATTATTTCAACATTTTGAGAGCAGACAAAAAATCACCTGAATCACCTGTCGCGAGAACGCACAGTTGTGCAGGCACTGTGCACAGACCGCTCAAGCATGGAATGATATTTAGTTAACCAGGAAATTATGTAGCCAGGAAATGATATGGAGCGCATAAATACTTAGCCAGCAGTTGAGTCAGCAGTTGATGAGCTTTGACTAGAGTTTAAGTCAGGCGAGAACGGATACAGATTTAGTTCGTATTATGCAGATTTTATGCGACTTTTCTTTTATAGCAATGAATTTCAAAGAAAACAATTTTCTTGAAACGTATTTTCTATTGCAACACGATTGCAGCGCCACCTGGCGGGCCCAACTGTCAGTGAATTTTCTAGAAATTTAGAAGGAATTCAATGAGAGTAAAGAAGAAATATTATAAAGAAAAATATATTAGTCTGATCAGTCTAACCTTTACAAACATCTTATTCGATGAATTGCTTGGAAATTTAAATATATTACTCTTTATTTAATTCGTCTTTACTTAACTTAAATGAAAACTTCGTTTAATAGAATATATAAATTTTTATTGATTTTTATTTTGCTCTGTTCCAAATTTAAATTTGATTTTTGATTCTAACATTCTTTCTCTTGTTGAATTAAATGTTTCATATAATTCTTTGACAGTCTTATTTTAAAAAATAAACCAACTGAGGATGAACAAGAGTATCATTCATCTCAAAGAAGAAAATTCCACTTAAAAAATTTAATTTGTAATTCAGCTTCAAAGCAAAGTATCATTAATTCATAATATTGCATAAGACTTTTAGCTCTTATTTGAAAAGCAAAGTCAAATTGCATAAATTAATTACAGGGTATATATAATTATAACAAATATTCTGAGTAGATTGTTGACTTTAAAAAGTATTCAATATTTTCTACTCAAGTTTTTGCATATTTCTCAATGAACTAAAAATCCAAATGATAAAAATACCAACAGCTTAAATAATACTCAAAAATCTAGACAATTGATTTTGAGCTGCAAATAACTAAAAATTTAAAAAAAAAAGTAAAACATAATATGAATTTCTGCCACTTTAATATTTTCCAATTTGTGTTCAATTTGTATATTTTCTATTAGCTTCAGTTGAATTTTTCGCAATCATTTATAAAGAACATGAAATTAGCTGCTTGAACAAAACCAACTGGGTGCTGTTTGCACTTCTGGCTAGTAAGCAGATATCCAGATATATGTCGGTTTTTTTTCTTATTTTATTTTCCACGAAAGCCCAAGCCGAACAAAGAAAGCCAAGGCATATGCAGTCGCCTAATGAGCCCGAGCTGGCAAAACATTTTTGGGATGACAACAAATAAAAAGGAGTTGCCAGAGAAATAATAAAAATGCGTTGGCGCACAGTGCGTATGATTAATGCAGGCGCATATTTAATCATTTTTCATGGCTACGAAATGACAGCACAGTAGTTGACGCAAACAAGCGACAACAATTTTGAGGTTTGAGAATTCCAATGAAATTTAAGAGCTTGTCCTCAGCTGACAGGCGCCCAGTCAGAATTAGACGAGTGGGCTGGGGGAGGGGGGGGTGGGAGAGCGACAGGACAATCGAGTGCAAAATGACAAGACCTACAACATCCTGTTGGCCTGGCCACGCCCAGCTGCGTATGGTGGGCTAACAAAAAGAGCCAAAACTAAAACTAAACTCATTTAACTTTTGCCGTATTTTGTTGGCAGTTTACCTGGCCCAACAACAACCAGGAAAACTAACAACAACAACAGCAGCTGAGAAAAAAAAAAGCTGTTATCAAAATGTCATTCATTCAAACATTGTAGCAAGGGCCCAAGGATCGTTGGCTCCATTGTTGACTCTCATTATACATTATATGCCTCTTGTTGCTTCCACTTGCAGTGCCCACCAACAGCAGCAGCAGCAGCGCATCCTCTACAATTGTCCCGGTCGCGTCGGTCACGCCGAGCAGCATCAGTTCCAGTGCCAGCAGCAGCACCGAGACGCTGGCGGAGCAACAGCAGCCGCAGGGTAAGGTGTCTGGCCCCGCGACCTGTAACTAACAAACCAAACAATGCCGCATTTCAATTCATTTTTAGGCCAATGTCTGCTGGACGGGCTCTGGGTGCCGGAGACGACGGTGCACTGCGAGAAGCAGACAAGCTGCCGCGCCATCCAGCGCACAGGACACTGTTGTCCCGATTACAAATGCGGTAAGTTGCCCCATGCCACACGTTGCATATTTATGCAAATGGCACCACGGCCACAAACGGCGTCAATCATCATTTCTGGTGCTTAGCTTGCCTCTTTACTTTACAGATTGCGAAAAGGATGGCAAAACTTATGCGAACGGTGATAAATTGGTTGATCCGGATACACCGTGCACCGTGTGCTACTGCAAAGGTAAGCTGCCGCAGATTGTCGCCAAAAATGCGTTGCATGCAACAAAAAAGAGAAAACAAATTTCACTTAGTTTCCAAATGTGCAACAAACGAAGAGCTTCTATGCCCACATAATATAGTTTCAGGTTTGAACTTATGTTAAAAACGGATTTTATTAAATAAGTTTTCAAACAGAATGAAAGAAATTGAGCTGCGCATTAGAAACAACAAATACCCATATACTAATAAAATGTAACAATTCCCTATAACTAACCCCTTAAACATGTCCAGTTTGTCAGTGACGAGCCACACAATTGGCTGTGGACGAATCCGAGCTAGTGCAATTGTTAATTAAGGCAACATTTCAATTATTACAGGTGGAGAAATTGTGTGCAGCTCGGTGACATGTTTCCGGCGCGACGATTGCATGCCCAAATACGTGACCGGTCGCTGCTGTCCGGAATATGACAATTGTCCCAGTGAGTAGAATACAAAGCCAAATTCTCGACAATGCACTTACCCCGCCTGTCTCTGGCCCACAGTTCTGGACAACAATCCGCCGCTGAGCAGCGATACGAGCAGCGCAACGGCGCCAACCGCGAAGCCTGCGCCGGCTGCACCGCCCGCTGGCTTCAATTGGAACATAACCATCAAGGAGATTACCAAGCCGACAGAGATACGCATCACCGATGACAATCACAAGCCCAAACAGACGATACCCACACGCAAGGCGGCCAATACGGAGGCGCCGCCGGCAGCAACAAGCACGACAACAACAGTTGCTGATAGCACGACAGCAGCAGCAACAGTTGCTGACAGCACAACAGCAGCAGCAACAGCGACAGCAACAACTGAAGCCACAGCAACAACATCTCCAGCAACAGCAGCAACCAGCACGGCGGCAACACCAACGCGAAGCTTTGGGCTAAGCAAAGACAACAACCAGAAAGCACTTCCAGTCAATGGGAGCGAGAGCTTAAAGCTCATTGCCTCGGTGGGCTACATTGAGCGACCGCTCTCGCATGGCAATCACATTGTTGTTGGGCAGCAGCTGAAGCCGCTGGTCACCTACAATGCGGACGGACTGCAGCCGCTGGCCGAGAACGATCCCAGCAAGGTGAACATCAAGCGCGAATATACCACAGAGGGCGTGGCTGGGCTGTTGAGCAGCAAGCCAGCAGCCGAGTCGGAGCTGGAGCCAGACACAGCGGGCAGCGACAATATTTACCACATAATCTCCACCACAGAAGGACCCAACAGCAGCAGCAGCAGCAGCAGCAGCACGGAGCACCAACTGAGCACGGAGGGACCCTTGCACATAAGCGAGGAGAGCTCCACATATTATGGCAATGCCACCATGGAGCTGGAATCGAGCACAGAGGGTTTGATTTCTACCAGCAGCAGCAGCAGCGGCAGCAGCAGCGAATCGCCCGCTTCGAGCACTGTGCAGCCCGTGCATCACATGGATGAGGATGAGGTGCCGCAGGTCGAGTCCAATCCCGCGTATCCCTCGCTGCCCGAAGATGATTTCAGTTTGCGCGATGTTAACTTTCCGCTGTCCGAGCTGGACGAGATTGTCGAGGCGGAGAACAAGGATGAGCAGCGCAGCATTATCAGCCCCTTTGAGCGTGACAACAAACGCACCAAGCTGGTCACTGAGAACAGTCTGGATGCCAGCGGCGGAGGCAGCGGCGCTGGCAGCGGCAGCGGCAGCGGTGACCTGGAACTGTTTCAGTCATTTGGCTCCACAACGGAGAACATGCTGGTGCAGGCGTCCAGTGTGGAAAAGGTCACAATGTCGGCGCAAGTGCCGCTGATGTACAGCGCCGAGGACAGCTCCGCGGAGACACGCATACAAAACGTCAACGAGCTGGCCAAGATCAGTGCCAGGCAGAGCGAGAACGAGACCAGCGGCGAGCTGGACAACGGCAGCGGCAGCGGCGAGCTACGGGAGCCAACAACGCCGCGCGCCAATACACGCGTCCAGGCGCTGGACATTGATGAGCTGGGCTCGGGCGCTGGACAGGCACAGGGCACGGCACAGGATCCCAAGGCAGATGCCGAGAGTCTCAAGCTGGACGAGAGCCAGGAGCAGCAGGCGGACCCTGGGGCCAACACAAATGCCGCTGGCAAGGCGTCCTCTCGTGCCGAGAAGAGTTTCGTGGAAGCGGATCAGCGTCTGGAGCGTCTCTTTCTGCAGCGAATATACTAAAAGCAGGTAGCACAACAAATTTATATTTGGTGTATATATATACTAGAACACATAGCAGAGCTGTAATTTTCAATTACCATAAACAATTACCTAAACGATTAATTCAGTAATTAAAATTGAGAAGTGAATTTGACAAGTTGCAATTGCCTTAATAATTGTGACAACAACTAAGTAAACGCCATGGTAATTCAACTATAATTACCAAGTAATTAAAACTTAAGAAACGCATTACTCAAGTAATTGAAATTCATGAGTGTTTCGTTTTTTTTTTTTCAATTCACACTGAAGCGATTATTAATTAACGAATGTAATGATTACAGCTCGATTACATATCGATTATCGATAGGCGGCTATCGATATTGTTTCTAAAAATCGAAAAGTCTTAAGTTTAAGTAGCAAGAAAAGAAAGCAGCATTATAAAAAGAAAAAAAAACTAATTACTTTCACCGACAACACATATAAGGCAAAATTCAACTCGCGCGTTATTCAAACTTGAATTTATCTAGAATTTAAGTTCGCCTTACAATTAGCAACAATTACATATACAACAGGAAAACATAAAGCTGGGCTCCCCAAATGCAATAAATATATTTTTATTAAATTTTCACTATGTGCACATTGTGTGCAAAAAGAATAGAAATTTGCTTAGTTATAGAATTTATTTATTCATATAAATAAATAAATTTAAAAAGTTTTTCGTAAGTTAAGAACACATCAAAATCCCTAAAACATTTCACAATGCCACGCCCACAAACACATAAAAAAGTGCCCACAAAAATTGTCATTGCACAAAATTATGAAACATATTATTTAACTTGTTTTATTTACTATGAATTTATTTAATATTTAATTTATTGCATAAAACAAAAGTATAAAAAAGAACGAATGGCAAATGCTCTAGTGATGTTTTGTTTTTTTAATGCAAATTATTTAGTCCTCTTCGATTTGAAAAGCTTTTAAGTTTAGACTGAATATTGAAAGTTCTAATTTAAAGTAATTACTTTAATTAATATTTATAAACTAAATAATAAACAATAAAAAAGATATGCCCAAAATTCATATAAATACTTATAATGAAAAGTGTCAAAAGTGCAGTCATTTTTTAGTTCTTAGGCTGGAAAAGAAAAAAAATAATACTAATAATAATGAAATAATACGAAAAAAAATAATAATTTATTTAGACGCGCAAAAGATTAGTTGTGTGAGGCAAAAAATATTTGCACAAATTTAAAAATATATATATAAATAAAATAAACATTTAATTTAACTAGCGTAAATTTAGTTTCAAGTTCATATTCATGTGTACGAATAATAATAAAACGTCTATAAATAGTTATTAAAATTGTAAACTATTTAACGTGTTGGTTAAGTGCAAGTAAAGAGAAGCGTGAGAAGCGCATAGAAGAGCGCTGTGGCACAGCTGTTGCCAGCGAGAAAACTTCAACCGAAGAAGAGACGCATACGCACACCTGTCCTAGCAACAATTGCGCAATCGGACACACCTACAACAACATGACTTTTCATTAAATATGCAAGTGCATGCGGCGGCAATTACCAAGAAATTAAATGAACAAAACGTACACAACAAATATCACGACAGCGTCAACAACGAATGTTGCATCACAGCGGCAACAGGCAACTGTTGCCACAACAACAACAGCAACAGAAACAGCAACAGCAACAACAAAGGCGGCCGCAAACAGCGACTCGGCTTACGCCGCAGGCAACAATAATAATAATAATGACAACAACAAAACAACAACAACAACAGCATCGGCAACATTCAATATATTGAACTGTAATCCGCAATACGTTAAAAACAAAAACCAACAAAAATAAAAATAATAAAAGCAACAACAACTTATGTAACAAGGTTGAGGAGCTGCAAGCAAACAATTTTGGTTAATTTCGTATGCGCCGCGGGATCCCAGCCGGAGAAAGTCTTCGTCTGCGTTTGCGTCTTCAACATGGTCTTCGTCTTGGTCTTGGTCTCACACTTTCGATTGGAGGAGGAGCAACTGGTTTGTAGGAGTTCGACTTTCGCTTTTGGTTAATTTGTTGGACGGCGAGGGAGGTAGGTAGGTAGCTCAAGAAATGCAAATATCTCATTTTTTGATACTTAAATAATTTGTTGTTGTTTTTTTTTTTTTTATTTTAGTTTCTTTGCTTATTGTGTGCTTTGTAAAACTTAACAAATCACTTGATCTAAACCTAATTGCGTCCAATTTGATCGACCTGCGATTGCAGATTGTTTATCACCTCCGAGGGCACCGTGTCTCCGAGTATATCGAACAGATTGATGCGCTGATTGCCGGGTATCTGCTCGTAGGCGCCCAGCTCGATGCCCTCCTGCACGTTCTGGATCTGCGCATCCTTCGGTATGAGCAGCGTCTGCTGCGCCTGCCGTATGGCCTCGTTTGTGTAGGCGGCGCCCTCCCGGGTCTGTGGCAAGCAGCAGGCGCTGCCAACCAGCAGCAGCAGCAGCACGGATAGCGCAATGAATTTCATTTTATTTTCTAATTAGATTTATCGATCGCTGACTGCAAGAAATGCCCGTTATCATTTAAGTGTTTTTTTTTTTTTTTTGTACACGCTTTTGCTGTCTTACCTGGCGCGCGAGCTTTGTTGTAATGATTCGGCTGCGCAGGCGCCGTGCGCTTTTTATAAGCTGAGCCAAGACTGGAAGCGGCGCGTCTGGAAAGCCGCTGGGCGCCAGCAAACATTTCGCTTGTGTTTATTTCTGGTTTTTAACCAACGGAAAAGAAAACCAAAAAAAAAAAAAAAAACAGTTCAGTTTTACCATTGCTAGGTTGTTTTTTTTTTTTTGCCAAACGACCCATAAAAGTTTTGATTATTTTAAGAGCAGGCAAATCATAAACATTATTATTGGGCATTTGTCCACTTTTGTGGCGAAGGTTAAGCCACAACAGAAATGTCAAGAGGCGCTTAACCTTCCAGTGCCGCAGCCAAGTGACGTTCCGACCAGTTGCCGTTCAAGTGTAGGCATTGCTATCTGGTTCATTAATGGCCGCGGCACAGCGGTATTAATAAAGTTTAACAATTGTACGCCGCTTGAAGAGCCACCAAATTGTAAATTGCTAACCAGCTATGGCTTTTAATGTTTTTGCGTAAGCCGTCAACAAATGCAGCACATCATCGCCGTGTCTGGCAGCGCAGCGTAACAATATTAATTATTAAACGATTAAGTTTTGGGATTTTTTATTTTTGCATGTTTGCCTTGCATAAGCAGTACATGATTAAATAACATATGTGCCGCTTACATCTGCATTTAACATTCAGCTCGTCAATTTAGTCAGCTTTGGCTGCTGAAGCTGATTTGTTTGTTCAAATTTCGCGGTAAGATTTAAATAAACGATAAGCGATATCTTGTGCGCTCGATAGAAAATCACAGCGATGATTATGCCAAGTTGGCAGCTCGACACAATATATTGGCCGCCGCCACAATCTATCGATGACAATAAAACACGAAGTGTTGCTGTAAATTTTAATAGTTTAACCATTTATTATAGCATAATAATTATAATTAATATTAATAAAATATGTAAGCAGGTATTTTTGTTGCAGTAGCTTAACATAAAATTCACAAGCTATCGATGTCAATCGATGTTTTTGAATTTGGGTGCATCTCTAATCTATCTGCAGCCACCTCAATTGGCGATTTATTAACTAAATATTATTTATATAGTATTGCTCACTTAAAGCATACAATAAATACTTTATAAACCTTTCCGTGCTGCAGAACCAAGCAAGTGCACTGAGCAAGAGTTAATTCAACAGTTCTGCTACTGCACACAAGCAGCAAAATCGAAACAAAAACACCGCATCGAAACGCACGTGTGCGGGAATATGGAAGCAGAGAACGGCGAGGGGCAGGTGCAGGTGCACCTTAAAACCAAACAAGAACAGTGAGTACATCAAATTCCCATTAGTTTATTTTATAATAATGTCAACAATTCTCTTAGCTATGCTGTGCCTGATGTCCCATATGCCATCGATGGCAGCGTGTCCACCACGGAGCTGAATATATTCCTAAATGCGCTGCTGCAGAGCAAAGGCGCCGAAGGTGTTGACTTTGATTTTCTTGTATTCGATGAGTATCTGCGCGGTCGGCTGTGCGATCATCTGCGCGAGAAGGCCATCAGTTTTGAAGATGCGATTGATATTGAGTATGTCGAACGTTTTCCGGCGCCAGAGCCGCAGGATTGCCTGCTGCACGACGATTGGGTGTCGGCGGTAAAAGCATGCGGCAAATGGATCCTGACTGGCTGCTACGACAATACCATCAACATTTGGACCAACAAGGGCAAGCACAAGCTAACGATACCCGGTCATACGGCGCCTATCAAGGCTGTGGACTGGATATCAATGGACGACGAGAACGGACGCTTTGTGTCCACCTCACAGGATCAGACAGCCATGCTGTGGCAGTGGAACATTGCTTCAAATGCCGTGGAATGTGTGTCCGTGTGCAAGGGCCACGAACGCGGAGTCGATAGCGTCTGTGTGAGTCCGGATGCGCAGCGATTTGCAACCGGCTCCTGGGATACAATGCTTAAAATATGGTCAGCTGGTTTGGATGACACCAGCGAGGGCACTGCAAAGCGAGTTAAGGAGAGCGGCGTTAGAGTAAGTCTGCCTACAATTACCTATTCATGATAACTTCTTGATGCCATCCCGTTTTCCGCATAGACGCCGAAGATGACGTTGCAGGGCCATCGGGAGAGCATTTCAGCTGTACAGTGGATGGACGCCACAACGCTGGTGACTGGCAGCTGGGACCACACGCTCAAAGTTTGGGATCTGCAACTAGAAGGCATCAAGACAGAGATATCGACCAACAAATCTATATTCGATGCCAGCTACTCCAAATTGAATCGCTTGATTGTTACCGCATCGGCGGACAAGAATCTGCGTCTATACGATGCGCGTACAAATCGTATGTAAAACTTTAAAGCCCGGAACTTGTAAAGCTCGACTAATGAATACCCTTCAATTTCAGAGGGATCTGTGGTTCGCAACACTTATTTGGGACACAATGCTTGGGTGCAGACCGTAATGTGGTCGAATACGGAGGAGTTCCTGTTTGTGTCCGGTTCATATGATACCCAGAACAAACTGTGGGATTGCAGAAGCCCCAAGGCGCCGCTTTACGATTTGCTGGGGCATGGCGAAAAGGTTCTGGACATCGACTGGTCGAATCCGAAATACATTGTTTCTGGTGGTGCCGATAATACTGTGCGTGTGTTTAAGTCGGGCAAAGCAACAATAGAAAATATGGAAACAAAGTGAAAAATGTTGACGTATACAATTAATATATAGTAACTGCTAGACGCCGCTTAGTTTAAATAAAATGTCCAATATTTTTTTGTTTTTGCAACACAAATATCGATTAACATTTTGCAATAGCTACCGGCGATATATTGCACACACTTATAGCAACTATCGATAACAAGGCTGCATCGATATTAATTTGACAACAAAAGAAACATCAAAAGCGGTCGACCGCTTGTCTGCCTGACTGTCCAACGACGACCAGCCTAACAACAATTTAAGCAAACTTTATGAAGTAACAATTTAGTAATTTAGGCAACAAAAACAAGCCGGACAATTAAAGTGTAAAGTGCGACGCGCGTTGGGCAACGCTCGCCAAGCAGAGAACAGCAAAAACAACGCGGTCAAGTGTGAGACAGCGAGCGAAAGAGAGGCGAGAGAGCGAGCGCGACAGCAGGGAGCAGAACAATTTTGCAGTGTTTTCGCGACGTAAAAGTAATCAAATTTTATTTGCGAAAGGTGCGTATCGTACAATTAACCCCGTGCAGTTCTTTGTCTAAGTTCAAACAATGTGTTATTGCCTCAAATTGTGCAATCAGCCATTTGAC